CCTAGCATCAATGCTTGTCTGGCTCGAGCTGGCTTCAGAAGCTATTATCGGCCCCCTCAAGCCACTCTTATGAATTTCAGCTGGATCAAGTGAACGGGCCAATTGTAACCTCCGCACGCTTTATCCGTTTTTGTTGACATCTCACCCGTGTATACGAGCTTTTGCATGTATCTTACCGGACGATGAGAATTTTTGAGTTCGATTTCCACAGCCGCGCCGACGCCTGGGGCGTTCTTCAACATCGGCGGCTCTGTTCAGGTTGACCGTCAGAAATGTGGAACCACAGGACTGAGTGCTCAAGGTATCCCTAGGTGCTAACAAGAAGGCGTCGCTTTCAACACGGGCGCTTGCAATGGTTGCAGAGAGTAGCACTGAGTAAGAGCGACCATGGCTTTTCGAGCTAGTAATCGTCGTTTGCTATCATTTAGGCTGGTAGTGTAAACGCTTTCCATAAGGGTCCAGAAATGATCATCTGACAACAATTCTGACCGGCTGGTGGACGACTGATACACAAATCATCGTCAAAGTGACCACAAAGGTGAAGATGCCTGGTGGTTGCGCTTAACTTGTACTAGCGCAAGCCCGGTAAGTTGTCCATTCCAACCCAGTATTCATTTCGGAATCGGGACCTGTCCACGGAACCTTGGGAAAGTTCTTGTAGTATCTTCATTTGTCACAACGCAGAAGGTCGTACGATGGAAACACCGCTGAAGCGAAGTTATTGTTTTCATTTGAAGCGCTATGCACGTAATGGAATGTGTGAACTTTAAATTTCCTTGCACTGTTATGGAATGTTTGACGAATGCGGTAGACAGAATTTGCCAGCAACCTTACTGTTCAGTTACGTACACTTGTGCGACTAATGGCAGCGCCTCGAAGGAGGACATTATGATCGACAAATTTAGGATGACCTTAGGGACATAAGCGAAGAATCTTTCAACTGTGGCGATCCAGATAAAACAAAAACGTTGGGGCTCTAGGAGCGAATACGAAAAGTAAACGAAGACGATGACATGCAGGACAAAAAGATAAGTCCCGTGAGTACTTCTGAAGATCAGAAATTATACGGTAAAGGAAACAGCAGGAGTGCAAATCTGAGTAAGAGGAAAATACCACAATCAAAAGTAATTACATTACTAATTATGGGCCCAAATGTACTCTGGAGACGAAAACAGGGATATTGTGAGGAAGCAGTCATGGTCTTACATAACTATGGAAAATTCTAAAGCTTTTACGAGTAATTTATTCCGGTTAACATGGGTCCGGTGTGATTCTAATTGATTTCCAACTGCTTAACAAGAATGGGCTTGAGAGCTTCTTGGGGGCTGAAACAGGGTAGGGAAATTTTTCTACCACGAAAATCTGCGGATTGCCCATGTCCCGGAAATTTTACATTTCTTCGTAGACTATCGTTTGTTTGCTTGTGGCTTTTTTATCCGGTTTGTTTGTTCTAATATAACAGCTGCTCCAATTAATTTGACGTGGGAGAGGCAATTTTTATACTTGTTTTAATTATTATTGGGTTTCGAAACCAACACGGTTTGCCAAACTAGAAAACTAAATATTTGCCCGAACCAAGGCAAGCTCTGTACGCATCATTTAATCAACAGCAGACATTTAAGCGTCACTTTACGATTTAGTCATTAGTTCGATTGCCGCGATCAGAAAACATTGCAAAGCAGACCTGAAAGTACCTGCAAAATTTCACCCCTAACTGGTAGTGTTTTAAAGGACCGGTTTAGATGAAGAATTTCCTTCAGATTGGTTGTGAGTCCGGGTTCGAGAGACGTTCGGATTGGTGGTGCTTAATAATGATAATAATGTTTTTTCTAACACGGTTACATCTTTCCTACCGTATGACCTTACTCTGACGGTTTTCAGATCTACTAATCGTTGACTTCTTACGCTTTACAGATCCATCCTATAACCGGTCTGCCGGAGCTCGACTTTCCGACATTAGTACAAGCCGTATAAGCTTGCTGAATAGGGTGGTGTACAACTGAATGAGTTACGCTCCATAGAAAATCTTGCTCCCTTAGCGTGTGCGGTCCGTATGACCGTCTACTGTTGCAATTGCCACGTGATGAAGGCGCAAAGGGACACTTCACTACCAAGTGTTGAGTGACTGTTCTACGCAAAGCTACGTATCAAAAAGGTCCTATTCCTTCTAATATTAAAAGGCAGTACGAAGAAATGTATTAGTGCCACATTAATTTAGTGCTCCCAGGTTTCGTGGCCGCGGAAACTTATGAGGTTTATAATCATCATCATCACTGTCAGTTGTGATAACAGCGTACTCGTCGTACAGCGGTTGTAGCTGCCGCAGTTTCGTTTTGCCGATGTTTTGTGGGGAGTGGGTAACTGCACGTTGCAGCCAGGAGATGACAACTTGGTGCATAAATCCGGCACCGTCAATGGGCTGTCAGGTGGAGGGAATTGGGAAGGAAAATAGCTTGGATGCATGATCGCCATTGAGGGCGTGACTTGGCCATGTCTGACAATGCCTCTAACCATTGATGTGATTTGTCTCATGGTTTCCATCCAGGAAGAGGGCAATGAACAGCGTAGCTGGGTTTTCTGGTAATGCCTTTCACACTTCGCTTCCAAGTCATTGTTTGACCACATATGGCTCTCTTCCACCCTTCACGTGGTTGTGCAAAAAAAGCCCTTCGATGTAGCCGGCTAACAGGCATACGCGGCACGTGGCCAAGCCAGCTCAAACTATAGAGCCTGATCAGTTCATCTATCGTGGGGGAGTTATTCTTCCCGATTACCATTCGACGTATTTCATCATTGCTGGTTCGGTGTTCCCACTTAACTCGAGCAATGCTCTGAAGATATCGACGGTCAAACACTGAAAATCTCTTGGCGTCCTCAGCGCGCAGCGGCCCGATTTCTGATCCATATAGTAATATGGAGCACGCCGCAGAATTGTAAACCCGACAGTTGACAGAGAAGCTGACGTCACGCCTACGCCACAGGTAACGTGGGTTCACAAAAGATGGTCTGGCCTTCCCAACCCGGATGGAAGTATCACCTTTCGCGAGACCACCGGGACTGACACAGATGCCCAGATAAACAAATTTGTCTACTACCTCAATCGGTTCATCCGCAAGCATGAGGCTAAGGTGCGAGCCCGGCCAGTCTTGCAGCAGCACTTTACACTTTGCAGGTGTGAAGCGCATGCTGAACCTTGAGGCAGAATTATTTAGACTTAATATTTTGCATTACCACGGGGTCAGATCGAAGAAGAGCTCTCGTCCGCGTACCCACAGGCATTAGAGGCTGGTAGTGGGTCTTCCATGATCGCATAAATGACGAAGATGAAGACGAAAGGTGAAAGGGGCAGCCTTTTCGGACACCACTTGATGTGGTGAACTCAGGAGAGAGCTTCCTGCAGACCTTTACACGGCCGCGGGAGTTGGCGTACAGCGCCTATAATGACGGCCAAGAATTTATGGGGTACACCTTTGCTCCACAGACACTGCCATAGTGCTTGGCGGTTCATACAGTCAAAGGCGGTTTTCAGATCAAGAATAACGACCATTGTTGGCTGCTGGAAGCAGTGTCGCTGTTCCAGAATCTGTCAGGCATTTTCGATGCCGCAGCTAACAGGCTGATGCCACGGTGTTTTTTTACACGGCGTCCGCGCACCCTTTTTGAAGACAGGGATAACTGTCGACATTTCCCTTTCCGCAGGCACTCTCCCCTCGCCCCATATAGCACCAATAAGCTTCGTCGGATGGGTCACCATGAATTTTATGCTTTCCTTGAATAGAATTGTATACAGACCGCCTGGTCCTAGTGCCTTCTCACGTTTTAGTACGGTTATTTCATACTTTATTTCATCTTCCGAAGGGCGATCAAGATTTACACTCCATTTAGCCGTATGCGTTATCTCCACAGACTGTGTTGCAGGAGGCCGGCTAAACTGCTCTTCAAAGTGTTCGGGCCATCTTTCCAGTCGACGCTTTTGCGAGTGAATTAATGGGCTGCCTTTTTCACTTTTGGTTTCAATGATCACTGCTTTGCTTGAGCCGATCGATCGTATCAGTTGATATAGGGCGCGGCTTTTTCCCGTGGCAAAAGCTTTCACAATATCCCGAGGCTTCCATGTCCGTCCCAGCCCTCGGTCTTTCCTTAGAATTCACTTTGTGGCGCTTGAATTATTTGCATGTGTCGTCGTACTCGTTACCTGATGGATGGCTTTCCTAGCATCAGTCATGGATAGTGATCTCGAATCGGAGAAACTGAACGGACCGAAGCGAACGCCGCCGACATAACTCGTCTCACATTTTGCCATGCTTCATCCACATGCACACTGACACCACAGTATTGTTTGACTGTGGACGGTTTTTGGGCCAGCTCAGATCGATAATTTTGAGCTATGTTAGTTTTTCGGAGATGGTGGATCTGCATGCTTCTTGCTGACTTGCGATGGTCTGAAGGGAAACAAACGGTCGGGAGTGCACACACCATGGGGTGATCGAAATCAAGTGGTGTGCCCCAGAAGGAACGGCAGTCTCGAATTGTGGCCCTGCACCGGTGGCTCCTCGCTGCGTGGTTCAACTGGGCCCACGTTTGACTTGCAGCGATCCGAAAAATTATATTGAAAGTTCGTACTTGCAGAAACAATTCACGATCGACACACAACTGAAGGAGTCGGTCTCCGTTCTGTGTGGCGATCATTTACTCCGAATCGACCACCCAAGTGTGATTCCAGGAGCACACAAATCGCTTGCAAGGACCAAAATGTCAGTGCTTTTTACCTGACGAATGAGCCCGGATAACTCTTGGTAGGAGGTATCTTTCTCCGCATCGGAACTGCAGTCCGTTGGGGCGTAAGCCGACACAAAAATAGGCACCAAGTTTTATACTGAGTGGCATTGATTTTGATTTAACCAGATAAACAGGCGGCGCAAAGACGACTGTTCTCTGGGATCTAATCCTGCAAAGAGCGTTCAGCTCTGTCCTGCGTGCGTTTTAAATGCCATACATACATCGAGTGATCGCTTCCGGGTAATCGGACTAACGGATGGAGAAATGCGAAAGAGCTGAGTTCATCCGTGGCGTTCTGAGATGCATAACCACGCTCGGATCTTGCATGCGTAACTCGGAGACAGAGCATAGTTCAATTTTAAGGGAGTACATGGTTTCACCAGGCATTGCCTGTTTCCAATTTGACATGGGGTACGGACGTTAAAAGTTCCTATATAGAAAGGGTCCCGTGGATTTAGAAAGGTGTTATTTTGTTTGGTGTTTGTAGGCAACGAGGAGCATAAGGTCTTTTGGTCAGATGACTGACAGTCAAACGGCCCAGCGAAGTTTGCTTGAGAGATGGGAGGAAGCTGGGAAGGCACATCGGTGGACACTGAACAGCGCGGATAAATGATACTTTCCGGCTGCCTGGGCCGTGGAAGAGGGTCTGGTTGAGGTACCCCACCTCGAGCCTTCGATTCAAACGTCTTACCCACAGGACAGTGGGAGGACGTGGGTTTTTGTTACGGAGGCCCTGACTTTAGCCCTTGACTCAAAATACTGACCCACGAGGCAGTGGAAGAATGCAGGGTTTCCATTGGTGACCCTGCCCGTAGCCGACGACTCAAAAGTCTGACCTGCTCGGCTGCAGGTGGTCGGCCTAAATCGACGGCGCAGGGAACAAGACATTACTGTCTTATTCTTGATACAACCGTATTGGATAATGCGTCGGCGGTCACGGTCAACCTTTTCGCGATCGGAGTGTGCGGTTTTTCTAACCCGTCCTTCCTCGGGGGCAGGCAGCATCGCTGCTCTCATAAATATGGAAATGCTGGTCGCCTGGTGGAAACGCCTTACTGCCTTCACACTTCTGTCTCAGAGGACAGTACGACTTTGCCTCCAGACTGCCCCATAGCACGATTACTCGTAATGCGGGATCTCGCTGCTCCTTGTCTGGTTGCTATCCTTTAGCCTTCCCGGCATTGTTCACCTTGAGGAACAAAGTTCCAGACAATGTAGCCCGCGGGATCATTGCAGCACTCAAGCCCCGGCCATCACGTCAAGGCTTAAGCTTTAGGTCGAGTTGAGACCCATAAGCTGCAGACCGTTCTGGAATAAGCAGTTTGTGCACGGTTAAGGATCGTCTACTCTGGCGACACTAAAAACAACGGTTTAAAATAGCATTTTGTCGGTTTACATAGCACTGTCGTAACATCGATAGCCTGGAACGCATCATCTTGGTGGACACCCGAGTGTTGTGCCTCAAGTCATGATGCACAGAAAAGCGGGTGTAATAAATAGGATGGTAGGTGGATTGGCGTAACAGTGAAAGATACTTTTCTAAAGCAGCAGTTTCGTAATTATCCACTTTGCCGAACACCGTGGGTAGGACAAATAGGATTCACTATTTATACAGTAACTAGGAGGACACATACACATCCGATTTTGGTTTGAACGTGTATGTTCACACTACCAAGAGTTTCAAGGCTGGGCTTCACAACCGAGACCTTGTGTTCAACTACCGAAGATCAGGGCATCCACGACTTGTCAAGAACAACCAGGTGGGTCCCTTAGGAATCATGGCACTCTCGCTAGAATGAAGTTCATCCACTTCAAGGTGAACCATCACGCGGGGCATCTTGGTATCAATATATAATGGAACGAATGGGTGTTCTCGAGTTCTTTCACGAAGGTCGTCCACGAAGTCACAATGAGATCAGGTTGAAGTTTACTGTCGCGACAAATTAGAGATTCTCACGAATGCATCAACACTATCTTGGATGCCACAAGACATTGCTCTTTAGTCTGTGTTCTGCATCGTTCCGCATCAAAGAAGGCAACATTCCGGTTTCAAATTTTTAGTATTCCGTAAATATGCCACAGTACTTAAGGCTAATAGACACCTTACCACCGAACAAAAAAGTGCTTAGCTTGCTTTCAGCTGAGAAGGATTTGGCCGGCACAAAATCATTTTTTTAAATGTGACCATAGTATTTCTTACTGTCATGCAACATTAATGAAATTAGATACTTGGGATAAATTTCACCCAAATTTACGATGAAAAACTTTGCGTTGAAGGACTCTGCATTTATATTTCAGTTAAGCTTTGTTATATGCAAATAAAAATTTAAAACATTTCCCTGGACACGTTCATTAACTTGAAAAATGCTTGCGGTCAGTAGTACTTGCAACCACCACCAAGATAAAGACGCGTCGCAGGATAAATAAGTCCGTTGTCGCCATTCAGGTAACTTCCATCTGGTGTGGGTTGTAACCACCATTTTGTAGCAAGTTGCTTTGCATTTCCGTGTTTCCTTCTCTTTAGTGCTTTCTGATGTCTTACAAAACTTGAGGCCAATCTGTAGGCATTTTTGTAAATATCAGCATTGATGTCAACGAAAAATAATATTTTGTGTCTGAATTATTCCGCGTTTAAACATGTTTTTGGATGTGCTGCAAGCAACCGGTGATGAGGTACCGCTCATATGCGCACATTCGTCCCGGATATGTTTCGTGAACTTATTGTCGTTGCTTAACAACTGTGATGGCTCGGTGACACTGCATAACTTGCGTAATATTATGTACGTCTTTGTTGTGGGAACGGATCAGTTGCATTTACTTCGCGTGGTGAATGAAATTAGTCGTAGCAAAGGAAGAATAATCGGTATCACAACATTTCAAGAAACACGTAAACTGCGCGCTAGTGGCCGGGTGCCATCCAGGCTACTTGCTCAACTCAGTTAGGCTGGGAACATGATATTGCGGCGTAATAAAGACGCTTGCGCGCTTGTCAGAAACTTATAAACGAGTTACTTTCAAGGTTAACCACCTAATTCTGCGACTTGCAGAACCAGTACCCCTTGTGTCTGCCAGACACACGTGTGAACGATAAGCATGCTTACCTGGGTCGAGCAAAGTTTTACTTGTATCAATAATGCATCGTGGTGTGCGGAGCTTGATAGCACATTATTCGCCGTTTGATGCTGCTGAGGGTTGATAACAACCTTAATCAGGGAGAAAGGGCATAAGCGGGTGGATCGTGTGATGGACAAGGAGAACCCCATATGGGATTTCCAGATGGGCTAAAAACTTATAAAGCTCTACTCACAGCGTCCTTGCCGTATCAACTAGCCGAAAGGCTGGGTTCACTGCTCCCTACTTCGGTTCATTGATCGACTGTAGCTCAGTACAAACACCACACAATTCTCACAACCAACAGTACTCTCTTGCACTGTTATCTGAATGTACCGCACATATTCTGAGCAGAAGCACGCCAACAGTGGCCTTTTGTGCCTTCGTATACATTGGCCGCCTCAACTAGCCCTTTGTTGCTAGGTCAGCTTACAAAAATGTACCTTTTTGTGGGCTTGTTCAACCTTCTGTCATTCTCTTTTAGACTCTTTTTCCATTGGACACTGTTTGCTTGATATTTTCCTTCACCCAACAGAAGCTACTGAATTCATCCTATTCGCTTCTTATTCTGACCTCTTCTCGAGCTTCAACCGCGAACAGCATCTCTCCAGGTCGCCCCGTGCGGTCTTCATTTATTAATCCCACTGATTTCAGGTTTGCACCTACGTGGTCCTTCAACTTAATAAAAATTGCAAGTGACTCATCATCGGCCTATCTTTGCCTCCGTCAGTCACCTCGCTTAACTCAGATTCTGTCGCCTCAGAAACACCCATCCCATGTCCGGTTACCACATCATTGACGTCCACAATGAGGCTGTCCAGAAACTGATGTATATCAGTAGAATGTTGGCGCGGCACCGCCACATCTAATCTGGGGACGCAATCGCAAACATTTTCTTCCGACACACGACCGTCATCTTTCGTTCACACCAGCCTGTTATTGCAACTACGAACAAATGTTTAACCAGTCCGATCTACCTCTGTAACGAGTTTGACCCCATCCCCTGAACCTTGCGTTTGAATCTAACCTTTTCGATCTTCTGAAGCAGTTGCGGCTTACTCCTTCTGCAAGTTTAGCAATTTTATTTTCGTTGTTCTTTCAGCCCCATGCACGGGCACCATCTCCCCATAGAAAACACTGTCCAAACCTGACTCCCCCACAACAGCAACACCAGTCAATCTATTGATTTTAATGTGAACCATATTTTTGAAACAAAGCCCCGTCATCTGTCATCACTTGGAAGTTTCCCATCTCCACCTCTATATTTGCTAGAGGTCACCGATGGCCTGCAACGGTTTTTCATCTTTAGTTCAAGTCAAGAGGCTTCGTCATTAACCTAGTCGTACCTCATCCCACATTTATGCGGTGTTTTGGTTTAAATACCTTCGATGACTATGAAGGCGATATGCATGTCTTTGCATGCCAGGTTCAGGTTGTAACGGTCCGATCATGCCTCAATCCGCATGTTCCACACAGTTTGGGGAATGGATCTATTATCAATATAATTAAAAGTATGAAAACACATCAAGCTAAAAATACGGTGACCAAGACATTTAATTATCTTCCAGGATCACCTAAACCGGCCGATATTACGGAGCGCTGATCGTCAGACTCGGCGCTATTTGAACACACACCTACTTATGCAGCGCATGGTTGGCCAATAAATCAACTCATCCTGTGGCACATGTTCCAAAACAGCCCAGGATTTCCAAGATGTAATTTCTATCCAGGCCGGCCCCGGTAATAGACAAACATACCGCTCAACTCTTCACATTTTAGTGTACAAAATGTTCAGCGTGAACTTCAAACATAAGCCGTCAGGTTTAGCCGGTCAAAAATATTGTTGGGTGCATTGCAGGCGCAGTCTCTATATTTTGACGGGGCTCTCAATTTGCTACTTAACGCATGCACGACTGTGTGTGGCACATCTGCCCAAGATGATTTATTTGAGGGAAACCACCTTGGTAGAAGAGTGATTCCACAGGCACCTATTGAATTATCAACGTTACTGGTGGGATGATGGGCACGTGTAGGCAACAATATGATGCAATGACGCGATCGAAAGTACAGTAAGATGTACATAGCGGCCACACAACTTTATTTTGTCCCTACATGCCATCAGATATCAAAGTAGTGGGCCATCCTTCAGACATATTCTTGGCTTATTCATCGATGGGCCAAAACTAAGCGATACTCTCTGAGGACTAGGACAAAGTCAGACTTGGAAATAAGTAGGTG